ACTACAACTAACAGCACTCTTTCTGCAAACCAAATTATTCAATTTAATACTCGGATAAGTGCATTTAAATAAAATTTCAGAACTTTAAATTTGAAAAACTGGCCCTTCCAGTAGTTTAACGTTCACATATCTAAATTATACATGTGGGCGGTCAGTCAAAGGGGCCACAGGTATATGAACACAAATAGCAGAATGGTTGTTAGTTTTACAGTCATTAGAATTCCAGTTTAGCTTCATAATCAGGTTAACAAAAGTGTGAAAGCTCTGTAGTCCAGTACCAGTTACTAGACTTAGAAATATTTCAGCACAAAAGTTGTCTATGGCTTTTTGTGTCTGCATAGACATAAGCATAATGGAGTGCCTTGTAGAAGAACGAATTTCCTATTATTTTTCCAATAGAATTGAGAAGGCTTAAAAAAAACAACAAAACAAACCTGAGTAAGCTACAGTTATCTCATAAATATAAATAAATAGGCTGTATGCCTAATGAAGGAGTGTATTGTTTAGGTTATATAAGACGGGCATTTTGCTTGCTTTCTTGAGTTTTAGGGATATTAAGGGTGTTCTCATTTTTTGAGGGTGCGGTGTTTTTTTATTTGCTTGTTTGTTTGTTTGTTTGCTTTTCTTCTTGGTAATAACAGAGGTTATTAATAGCCTTGTTGCTATTCTGTCTTACTTCAGACTTTTCAAATGAGGAAAACATGAACGTTCCTGTTTTTTGGTGTAAAAAAAATTATAGTTCTGTCAGCTATAGAAGTGATGAGTGGTATAGAGAGACATAGAATTAGATGAATAAATTATATCATCATATGGAAATAATATGCAGTGGATTCTCAGCTGATATAAAGTGCTTGCTAAATGGCTTCATATTCAGGTACCCAGAATCCAGGAAATATTTTATTGTTGGTTTCCCAAAATCCAACAATAGTTTGTTAGTTTTTGTGGTTTTTTTCTCCTTTCTTGCACATGATTAAATGTGAAATTATAGTGCTTGTCAATGTTCAAGAGGGATTTGGATAATGTCCTTAGTAATATACTTTAACTTTTGGTTAGCTTTGATGATTTTATGATTCTATGATGTGGTCAGACAGCTGCACTAGATGATCTCTGAAGATTCCTTCCAACCATTGTGTTGTGTTCTGTTCTATTCTTATTTTTTCATCTTTGATCATTTTCTTGTTTCTGTGTTGGTCATTCCAAAATTAATGCCTCCTATTTATTTCCATGGAAACTGCAACATATACGTATACAAAGAGCACACCGTGACTATTTGATATAGTAAACTCTCAACTACAAAGCACTATTTTTCAACAGTCACCACCATTAGTTTTGCATTTCTGCCAGTGATGAATAAGTACCTGCATGCTGCTCCCATAAAAACCTGCCTCAGTGCAGGTGACCCACTGTTTCCACAGCTGCTGCAGCAGTGTTGTTGCTAGGAGTATGTTGTCCACACAGTCCACCTTACATTGGTCTGAACAGATGAAAGTCGGAAGATGCCAAATTCAGATTATACAGTGGATATGGTAGGACAATCCAGCCAAGACTGGCAGTGAGACTCAATGGTCTTCAAACTAGCATGCAGCCTGGTGTTATCATGTTGCAAGAGAAAGACTGTTGTCTTCTCTAGCCTGTCTCTGAAAATTTGAGTCTTCATCTTAGTCAGCATCGTGATATTGCAGTCAGAGTTGATGGTTTGTCCAGATTCCAGGAAATCCATGTTTACCTATCCCTATTCCAAAAGACAGTGCATATCACTTTATCCACTGTCTGGAACTTTTTCTTCAATGGGAAATTCACATATCTTCACTCTGTGAACTGCTGTTTTGACTCCAGCTTGTAATGGTGACACCACTTTTTGTTACTGGTAACAGTGCGATCCTGGAAGCTGTCACCTTCAGCCTCGTATTGGTTCACTGGGTCTTGACAAACCTGCATATATGGTTCTTTCTGTTCCTCTTTGAGCACTTGTGGGGCACAGCCTAACGCAGATGTTATAATATTCAAACATTGCCATCATTGTTTCCAATGCATTTAGGCTTATACTGAACTATGTACACAGTTCCCTGGTTGTAATCCATCAATTCACATAGATGAGCTGATCAAGGTGCTCTTCATTCCGTGGTGTGACAGCTGTGCAGAATGTGGCTTGTTGTCCACATTGCTGTTGCCACTGCTGAAATGCACTCATCACCTCACAGCCAGTGTTTGGTCTCCATAAACATTCAGCAAGCATCAATGAATATCAATGGTTGCCATTTTTTCTGTATGGAGGAATTCAGTTCCACACCTTTTCTTCATTCACACTTTCACTTCAGGCAACATTTTGTCAGACTGCCACTCTGCTGCCAGCTGTTGTACAGCAGTGACATGTAATGGAATATTATCAGGAGAGTTCAATCCCTACTGCCATACCACCAACATTTGCCTCTGACTTCATGAGCCAACATAATAAAATAGGAGGCGTTATTTTAGAGCAACCCTCGTAGATTATTATTTTCCCCAGCTTAGTTTACTATTCTTTTTTCTAGAAAATATGGTACTTTCAAATTTCTCACTTTTTCATGTCTGTCAATTGCAGAACTCCATCCTTTCTGTCTTGACGTCTATGACTGCTCTTCTTCCTCCTTTTAAAAGACATATTTCAATAGGGCCAGAAACACATACCAAGGAATTCCGAAGAAAACTAATTAAACAAATTTGCTTTTTTATTTTTAGTTCTATCAAGAGTTTATTCTGAAGTACTATTTCATTTAACTTTTAGAATTTTGGGGATTCTCAGAGTATTTTGTAGACATGGAAGACATGTACAGTTATAATTGTTTAGGCTTATGTCAAAGCATTCATGAAGGCATACCCTCCAAAACACTTTAACTGTATCCCATATGTTATATGTACATAATACATGATGTATGGTACTTGTGGGAGTTAACCTGAATAATTCACCTGTGGTAATACGATCAGTTGCACTTCAGGTTATAAATGTTTTATGGCCACAATGCGTTGTCACATTGCATTAAATAAATAAATAAATAAATAAATAAATAAATAAATAAATAAATAAAAAATAAACCCCAACATTTTAAGTTAGTGAAACTGGATGCTTGAAGAGATTTTTTTTTTTTTTTTATTCATTATTCTGATTATTGTGTCCAAATTTCATTTCTCTTCTACTTATATTATCAAGCACAGAAATAGATGATGAATTATGTTAGATAACAACACAAGCTATTTATCGAAAACAAATTTTAGAAATTTATCTTCATGTTACTTATCTCTTCCAAAACATGCAGCTTTGTATATATTTAAAATAGAGTGGTTAGCTGCTAGGTAAGACAATAAATGTAAAAACATTGCCAGGAAAAAAAAATAAATAAAACAATCCAACTTACAATCTGATTAAAAAAAAAAAAAAAAGGAATTAGGAAAATGAAGTTAAATTTCCAGAATTCTTAAACTCATGGTTTTTTTTTTTAACAGTTACAGCCAGTGTGTGTGATAACAGGACCATTCTTTACTATTTAACTAAGATGACACACATGAGGAAACAGAAGCATCTATTATTATTTAATGGAGACTCCTGTTAAATAAGGGGAATAAGGCATTATTTCACATTTGCTGGTCTTTAAAAAGGAAATGCTGTCTTTATTAACCCTGAATGTGTTAGTTTGCATGACCTAGTGATGGAATTTTTCAGTGAGACCATAAGTCATAGGGATTATCTGATGAACTTAGTATGTCTGGAAAGTTCATTTAACAGCTCATTAACCATTATGAAGAGATTCAGGTGAACTGCACCATAAATGAATGCCTGATGTATCTTCTGCACACCTCCAGTTTTATTTCTGGGAATAAGTGGTGGCTCATTTGGCAGAAAGGTTTCATTAAAATGATTTTCTCAATCACATTGTATATCTCTTGGCTTCAACTTCATATCATGCCTTAATTACTACACATTTTCTTTGCATGCCTGAAATATTTTGATTTTTTTTGAGCTCCACTGTTTAATTTGTTTACATAGTTATTTATTGATTTGTGTGTTTTCATTATATCTTGCCTGTAATGTTTGGTTAACACAGACACAAAAAAAGAACAAACAACTTTTTGAAGTATTCTTTCACAAAAGTGCTGGTAAAAGAAGTATATTGCCATATTCACTCTTTATAGCATTTTTTGTAATGTTTCCAAGGTTACTTAGATTGGGAATTGTGATTAAAAAGTAAGACTCAGATGACAGTGGATTTGACTTTCAAAAGTTCAGATGAAAAATTTCCACTTATTCACATGACTCAGCCATTATATTGTATGGTTGGACCTAACATTCAATATTAGAAATTGTTCAGTAGTGGAACCTTTAACTATCTGGTGTCCGTAAATCTGGGGTTGGCACATAGGCAATTGAAGGAACAACACCTCAGTTAATATTGAACAGAAACTTGAATAGGGAAATAAATCACAGGGGTGGTTGAGTCTGCTGTTGTTATTAAAATATATATATGTATTTATTCTAAGGACAAGTCTATGTCTGTGATAGTGGATATCAGTACAAGAATTTGAAAGAAAGATTCAAACTCTAGAAATATTCTCATCTGACAGTTCTCTGACAACACAGACCAAAATATTTGGTGTCTCCAAGATTCTATTCTGTTCTTGTGAGCCAGGAGTTTTTACATTCACTGTGTATTTATAATGTGCCAGAAATAAGCCTAATGATTTAGTACATTATGATGAAACTTTATCACATTTGTGAACATAGCAATGATATAGAATAATTATAATCCTACATGTGAATACATAATTGTATTTTTAGTAAAGTTTGGATTTGTAGAATTTGCATCTGTGAGAAATTTTTGCCTGAATGTTCTTAAGTGCATTAAGAATGTTAAATACAGATTTTGTATGACTAGTAAATATATAAGATGAATATGATTTTTAATTTACTTAAGAGTGATCTTTACATATGATTTTTTAATATTATTTGATTTTATTTTTAATTTCAGATCCATCTGCTCCACCAGCTCCATCTAATATCAGAATTGCCAATATCAGTGCAAACAATGATGGAACTGTTAATGTAATGATTACTTGGGATCTTCCAGAAGAGCCTGATATTCCAGTGCACCACTACAAAGTTTTCTGGAGCTGGACTTATAGCAAATACGTGATCCCAGCTAAAAAAAAGAGAAGGAAGATTACTGATGGGGTAAGAAAGAAAATAGCAAATGAAACAGAGATATGACTATGTATTAATTCTGGAACATTCAAACTTATTTCTGGCATGAAATAAACAGAGTGTAAGTAAGAAAAATGTGATAAATTGCAATAATTTCAACTGCTTGGAAAGTAATTGACTTAATTTTTAAGATCACCAACCCCACAGGCAAATTTGATACCTCAATTCAATTCCTTTGCTTCACTGAACTCAAGGAGAAAAGCAGACTTCTGTCTTAGAATGCAGGCAAATATAAGATTTTGCAGGAGGGATGGATAGAAAGTTCATTGCTTTTTCTCCTCTAGAGCAGGATTTATTTTACCACGCTTCTGAAAGATGGAGTGGTGTTTCATTTAAGAAACATTAACATAATCTGTTGCATTATTTTTTCAGTTTGTAAACAAAAGGCAGCATTATATAGAATAACTATTAAATAATCAGTAGGGGCCCAAGGAAAAGAATAATAAACATTTAAATAATCTGTTGTGCCAAAGATGTGACATATTTCATAGCGGCAGTTTTTTTTTGAGATTTTTGACTGCATTAAGTCTTGCTGTCATTTCCTTAAGCATATTGCACAGTAACTAAAAGTAGTTAATAGAGATTGAAATGTATCCCAAATAAAAGTCTGGACTTAATTATCTGGAATCACTTTTATTAATGCATTTCCATGGCTGTGTTAACACTGTGTTTTGGCTCTGGTTGACTGCTTGCACTCTGATGAATGACAGCTATTGAGTAATAGTCCTTCTATCCCTTAGCCACCAAACCCTGCAAAACATGAAAGCAGGGTAGTTTGTATTCTTGTTATATTATTATGAGTTGTATAGCAGACCCACCACTGGATGAGCACTGTGGACCCATCCCTTCTATTGGGAACTGATAGGGTTCAGGGTCTAGAGGCTGCAGCCATCATCACTAGCTCTACAGTGGGAAAGAGGGAAAAGGAAATAGACCCACCGCTGGAAATAATGTGGATTCTTTTCAGCAACCGTGATAACTTGGCTCTTTGTTTCTACTCAAGTCAAATACTTAGGAATAAAAAATCCACAAAGCCGTAGTAAACATACACGGAAAAGAAAGTTAGCTCATTCTTGCAGTTTTTAAAAATCACATTAGCAAGATAGGAGTTGAGTTGGATGTTGATAGGTAGTAGAATTTATGTTTCTGATGAAAGATTCCATTGGCTTCCTAGCATTAAAGTAATTGGGAACAAGGTCCGAACTTGACTATAAGGAAATTCAAGAGAACCAAAATGTATTTCAGTGGAAAGGTAAACTCTTAAAATATCTTTTTTGCTAATCCTGCCCCAAGGCCAGATTGAATGGGGCCCTGGGCAGCCTGGTCTAGTATTAAATGGGGAGGTTGGTGCCCCTGCATGTGACAGGAGGGTTGGAGATTCATGATCCTTGAGGTCCCTTCCAACCCCGGCCATTCTGTGATTCTGTGATTCTGTGAAACTGTACAGCAATGAGATTTAGACTGCCCCCATAGGACACTTCTCAGACTATTGCTTGCCAATAAATATTATAGAAATATTCATTCTAGAAATCAAAACTAAGGAAAATATAAAACAAGGTTAAAAAAATCTTGGTTTTAAAAGAACATTGACAATTTTCTTTATCCAGATTTTGCCTTTAGAAATAGACTAGTTCAAATTTAGTCTAATACAAATCATTTTATAGTTATTTCTCTATGGAAATACTCAAATAATTTGAGTAAAATGTTTAAAATATTGTCAGTAGTAAATATTTCAGCACAAACAAATGAACATCACTGATTTTAAACACTTTTGATAATCGCATAACTGTTAAATGTGGCAGTATGTGGTTATCTTTACTCTGGATTCATGGCTAAACTTCAGTTTCACAATGAATTGCATAAAAACATGGATTCTTCTGTCTGAGACATAGGCTAGAAGGGATGTTTTATAAATATTAAAAAAATATTTACAAACGTAATGTAAGAATATTGAGTAGCCTTGTCTCTTCTTTGCAATATTATGGGAAGTATTTCAATGTATGGATTATTAAACATGATTGTCCTATTCACATACACTTCCACTAAGTTGTATTTTTAATTTTTTGTTTTTCATTCTATAGAGGAAAACAATCCTTACCAATTAGCAGATTCTTTGGATGGTTGGCTTGTTGTTTGTTTGTTTCAAAAAAACATTCTATAGAAAATACTAACAAAAGTACTGAACACTGTATGTAGCTGTTTTCAGACTAGCTATCTCAAGACTAAGTTGTCAGTTGCTTTGCTAATACAAAAAAAAAAAAGAAAAAAAAAAAATTGTGGATGAATGAGTTTCAATTTCTTTGACTGAAATAATTGTGGCATACCAAAAAAAGTACTTCTGTATTTTGTATTCTGTGTGTGTGTATATATATACAAATAAAATTACAATCTTAATTTTGGCCTAAATTGTAAGTAACTGTATTTGCCAAGGAATTACTGAAAGTCTGTAAATGTCAGTAAGGTTAGTACTATAAAAAATGACAAAGAAAAGTAGAGTATAATGAAATATAGTTCTAAAGAAGCAAACTTTTGTTCTCCTGAAATTTATACGTAAGTTTTTTTTTCTAATTTCAAAAGAGTAGTGTGCCTAAGATAACAATCCTGCTTTTAATACAAGCCTGTTTTTCAGTAATACTATAACTTTCTTATTTATATATATATTCTCTATTATAGCCCCAAAATTATGTGGTCCTGGAGGGACTCCAGCCCAACAGCAACTACAATGTAGAACTACAGGCAGTAACACGCTGGGGTCAGATACGCCTTAAAAGTGCTAAGGTTTCTCTTCATTTTAGCACAACACAGGACAGCAGGAATAATAGTGAGTAATTGTATTCAGACACCTGAATGCTTTATCTCTTCTTTAACTGGAATTTGAGTGTTTTAAGTACTGATTTCTTAAATTATTTTCTTTAAGCTGGCTGTTTGATAGCAGAGTAATCTCATCTTGATGAAGTTGAGTAACCTTTTAATGTTAAATTTCCTATTTAAAACTTGATAAGAATTTTTGCCTATTTCTTTTTCTTAGTTGCTACTCACCTTAAAGAAATGCAATGAAAATGGATGCATTTGTACCACTGTGATGTTAAGACTTGAAAAATGCAATATATCTATAAATCCTTGCAATATTTCTTACTGGCTGCTGTAAATTCATTTCTGTATCTTTCTCTTAACTGGACAGTTTTGACTTGCAGTGCTTTTCAAAATCCTGACTATTCTGACTAGCCTATGAATTCTGGTTCTTGGACCATACAAATATATATGTTGTAGAAAGTGAGACAAAACATTGACTCTTCTATTAGAGAAACTTAATTGTTTTTTGCCTGATAAATAAATTCTCAAGAAATTATTACACACACAGACAAAAATTCAAATTAAAATCTTGATATCTGTAGAGGTCAGATTAAGATATTTAAAACTTCACATGCTAAAGCAATGCTTGGTTCAGCTTTGTTCTGGTAAGTGGAAAAGAATCCCAGGTGCCGTTATTATGCATTATTATGGCATACAGCCAAAGTAGCAATTTGAATTTCTTTCTCTCGTTTTATTATGACAGTGTAACTTAAAATTGTATCTGAATATGAGAGTAAACCAAGTCTTAGTTAAATGTTTTTATAATTGCAATACAATACAGAGTTACTGTCTTAGCTTCTGATACATCTCTGATTAATCAATAAAGCAATAAAGCAAAATTCTGATAAGAAGATGCTAGAGATATCATTTCTAATATTCTTTCCTGATTGTTTCATTTTCTATCCATTTACTTCTTGATTTTAAAGTACAATCAATTATTTGGCACCATTTTCATAACATTACATTACCCTAAACAGCCTCATCTAACTAACCGATGGCTATTTTTACTGGACCCTTCTGCATGTATATTCTGTTTGGACATGTATAAAATACTTTAATTTCTACATAAGACTGATCTCTACATCTACAATTGCTTCCTGTTTTAATGCACCAAGAAGATAAAACAGAACTTAAAATACATGTCCTTCCTTTCTCTCTATTAAGCTCACTTTTACAACCTTTTTGGGTCATTTTAGAGACAGCAAAGGGCCAAACTTTGATATCTTGAATGTACTGCCTTTTCTTGGAAGTCATAGCAGAAAATGAGCTTGAATCTGCACAGTGCGGACACAAGGCAAGTTTATGTTAAATCCTTGGTGGAGCACTATGTAAGTGAATACAGAAATTTTGCCTTTCCACTGGCTCACCTTGATTGTACCTGTGTTTTCTGGCATTGCCCACAAAAATGACCTAGTTTTCAGGAACATGCATGATATCATACTACTGTTATTTTGCCAGATTAAATAACAGCTCCAAGAAGGAACATGTAACTGAGTCTACTTTAAGTAGAAATAATGTTCCAGGAATAGGCTGATACCTGAATTTCACATGAGTCTGAGGCAGGGCTTTATTGGGGAAGCTATTAATTTTTTTCTCTCATTTTACCATGATAATAGCCTTCTAAATTTTCCCTTCTTGGAAGCAAGACTAATTAATCAACTGATATTCAGCAGGCTTTATTATTAGACCTGATGTTAGGTTATAGTCTTTCAAAACATTAAATGAAGACTTTCTGCATAATGCAGTCTCTCTAAACTGGAGCTGGTATAACTGAGTTTGTACTTCGCCTGTGTAGATGTCATTCCTTACTTTTTCTTTACAATAGGAAAGTGTTTCACTGATGGTGCTGAATCAACTCTCTATGATATTGCTGATATGTCAATAATGGGGTTATGCTGGGAGGGGAAGACTTCTGTTTCAGTTCTCTCTCCAGAACACTGTTTTTTTTTCCTGAATCTGATGCAGATCACCTATAACCACATTATCCTCCTCTAGGTCCTCTACCAAGTGACATTTATTCTACCAATAATGATTGGTGGGTTCATCGTTTTATGTCCACATCAGTGATTTGTCTTTCCTACCGTGTTTAAAGTCCCTTGAATAATCAAAAGTCACTTGGATAATCTACCCACTCCTTGCCCCTTTTACTTAATAAAAGTCTATCAGTAGTTTCTGTGAAAGTTTATTATCTACATAATTTTTTTGTGCTTTATTTCACTTTATTACATTGACCTTTTCAACTGAGAGTTTAAATGGCTGCTGTATTGTTTTTTAAACCAAATTAATACTGCATTCAGAATATTTTTGATTGCAAATGTACCTCAAGTGTATGAATGCTACATTCAAAGTATGACCATCCATTTACCTAATGAGCAGTATTTTCTTTTTAACTGCAAATCTGTGCCTGTGAGAACTTGAAAAGACATATTTGTTTTACAAGAAAGTACTTCAATAATAATATAGAAAAATCTGAACATACTTTCTGTTAAAGCCTGTGGATGAAAGAATTGGAGATTATTTGAGCCCAAACTGGTGATACCACACATTTTAGTCAACAGAGCATTCTACTAGAAGTATGTTTGGACCTATTATGAAAATAGCAAAATTATGGCTTATGTGGAAAACCAAATACAATGTGCCCCTAAAGGAGATGCAAATAGATCTGAATTAATCTTCTGACTCTCACTAAAGTTAGCTAGTTAGAACCACTTCTGCTTGAGGTATTTTTTGATAATACTCAGAAGCAGATGGAGAAATCTGAAAAAATAATTGCCTGAAATATTATCTAGGACAGGACATTCGTGCCCCCTCATCATTTGGGGAATTTTATGGCCTTTGGGAAGTAGTTCCAGAAGCACCATTCCAATTTTGCAGTAGTCCCACTGTCAATTGCTCAACTTGCTGTGGAATTAAGGTCTTTTTTTAGGTGGCTGTTCCTGTTGTCAGAATATAATCAGTCCATAATCCACTGAAGTAATTTAGTCCTATGGACTTTTATGAGCTTTGACCCTGGCCCTCTGGTGTTATCTTTCCTCGCTCTTGAAAATATCTTGCTTCACTGTATTCATGTGCCTCTGTTCTGGGAAATGCAGCAAGATTCTCTCTTTCTTGATCAGTGTATGTAGTATATAGTTTAAATCAGTGTTCCTGTTCTGAAATTGGAGAGAAAACAGCAAAATACAAATTTTTTTAAACTAAAATACTTTGAAAATAAAATACATTGAAATATACCTAACAGGTTCAAGTTTGTACTTTGCTCTATCACTTTGTGATTTCCTTTCAGATAGCATAAACACTTTGATGACCTTGTGAAAGAACATATGTGAATCTGGTAGATTTACTTCAGTGTAAAAGAAGCAAGTACAAAAGTAAAAATGTATCAGATTCTCATGATGATTGTTGAAACTTAAGTCTTTTTCTCTTTCTCTCAAGTATACAGCTAATAATTTGCGACTTCCCAATAATTGGAATCTTCAATTTTCACTTATATGTAATATTGATTTAATTAACTACAGGGTTTTTTTGTTAATCTGATGCAAATACTGTCCTCAATCAGAACTATTATATTTGACAGTGTGCAATGAAATACATTTTGAATCCACACTACTGCCTCTTAAACTGAAAACACTTAGGAGTACTGACAATACTGCTAAATATTCATAAAATGTTACCAGATGAAGAGCTTGATGAGGGACATTGCATTGCCGTTGCTTGTTGGAAGGCACACATATCACGGGATTTGCTCAAAGTTCATTCTGCTCGTACAGTGTTTTTCTAAGCATTCACTGTTCACTGTTGGAGACAGGAAAGCAGGAAAAAAGATCTTTAATCTGACCACAGTGTTCTCATATACCATACCAAAGAGCTATATTTACTTTGATGTAATAACCACATGCAGCCTCTGTGGGTTACACTCAATCCTGTCCTCAGGTTTTTGGCTATATTCAAATACTTTGCAAATATAAAGATGATGAATGATTATATAGAAGTACAGCTAGATACCATGCTTGTTGAAAAAGTCAGACTGTTAACTTCTCTTATTCCTGGGAATATAAATGCACTCCGTTTACTTATGATCCTTTTGAAAATTAAGAGAGCATTTTCATATAAGTATTGGTGTGTCTTTTTTGTCTCTCTAAAATATCTTTACTGAATTTTGAACAAATCATGTTTTTCAGCCATATGGACCATTTGTTTTTTATAGTTACAATAATTTCATTTAGCTAAGATATTAAAATAAGGTAGGATTGTGTTTTTTTCTGAATTTAAACATTGTTGGCATAGTCATTAGACAGCACTGTATTAAAGAAATAATTTCTTTATTTTTCTGTGTACTGCAGATGAGCAGACATCTTCTGGGAAACCTCCAAAAGGACTGGTAGATCCTTACCCAACTTTTCAAAGAAGAAAACCCACTCGTTTTCTTAAAATTGGAACTCCTTTCTATCAGGACAATCAACTTCAGGTTAAAGTCTACTGGAAGAAGACAGGTTTGTCAAATTTTTGTTTTACTGTTTTTTTTAAGGAGGAACTCTCCTAACCTGTCTCAGAGTTGTAGAACATTGTTATAATATTCTGAGCCTCATTCAGTCATTTCAAGTCAAATACAACATCCATCCTTCACCTTCACATTAGAATGAAACATTGCCTCTTGTTATGTCTGCCAGAAAGAAATTATGTGTTAGCTACCTAAAAATTGTAGTTAGTCGTGTTGGATTACTGAGTCTTCTCAGAGCTGAGATGATTTTTGGTTCAGAAGAAATTGCTTCATATAAATAAATAATCAGAATTTGTCCTTACGTCACAGAACTTTTGTGACTAGGCATATAGTCTCCCAGGTATGTGGTCAAGAGATCTCAAGTGCATACTGTTCCCATGTGGTACTGCTTTGGATGCCGCTGCAGCATGACTTCCTGGATTTTGTCAGTTGAGAAATGAGTCAGAAAATGAGTCTGTATGGAAATCATGTAGTGATGTCGCAAAATCTAAACTACAGTCTGAACCACAAAATTTAGAGCTACAGTGGTTATGTGAGGGCCGTTATAAGCTTGATGGCAAGCTTTATCAGTCACTTTGAATTAGAATAGGAAAAAAAGTTTGCCAAGACCACAGCAAAAATTTGTACATTGGTTGTCTACTAGGCTACATGCACCTTTTTTTTTTTGCAGAAAATCTAGTGATGATTTTGTCTAAGTCTTTAAAACTGGTGGAAAATACTGTACATTTTAAGTATCTAATCAGATTTAGAAATGAAAAAAAATATTTTCCTTTCTTTCCCTCCAGGAGCATGCATTTCTACATTGCTCTAGCTTACCCACAGCAGCATCATATGTATTTGAAAATACGCCTACTCTATTAGTGTTTTAACTGGAAGCATCTACAAATAAAGCAGGAGCGCATGCATAACATTTTTGCATTTGAAATAAAGGGTTACAAAATAGACAGTAACTTATTCCTCTGGAATTTTTCAAAGAATTTTAGAAATACTTAGTTCTGGGAGAAGGGATTAGGTTTATACAGCACCATCCTAACTTGAGAAAAGCTATATAGCCATTCAGCTATCCTATGTCACATTGGGTAGTGTGGTTTATGAGATGTAGCTTTCACTTTTTAAAAAGTGTCTACCTGTTTAAATGAAGATGACTTGAAGCAGTTGATCCCATACAGCAGCTAAATAATCTTCTGTAGTTGCCCGTGTTCCTTACTGAGTACTAAGGGGACTTAGATGATCAGTTCAGACTTGACAACACATATGTAGAAAACCTAGAGATGCCTCATATCTTTCTGGTAACAGGTTCAATACTGAACAGTCTGAACTGAAAAAAAAGAAAATTTCTCAAGATGCAAAGTAGATATCTTGAACTATTTCTTCTCTAATGGTAATGGTAGATTAGCTATCAAGCGTATGAGTAGACATTGCATTGTGAATGTCTAGTGTTGGCATCTAAATCTGGAGCTGTTTTCTACATTGTCACATACCTGAAAGTCATATTTGTGTTAAAGACTATAAATGTATATAAAAAGAAAAAGTTACTCAGCATTCTTATAATGCGAAGTCTGAAAGTATTGCCTCCTGTTTTATTATGTTGGCCCATGATGTTAGAGGCAGATGTTGGTGGTAAGGCAGTAGAAACTGAACTTGCCAGATAGTATTCCATTACGTGTTGTTGTTGTGTGATGGCAGCAGAGGGGCAGTCTGACAAATTGATGTCTGACCTGGAGGTGTGGATGAAGCAAAGGGGTGGAATTAAATTCCTCCATGAAGAAAAAATGGCACCTATTGATATTCATTGACACTTTCTGAACGTTTATGGAGAGCAAACAGCGGATGAGAGCACAGTGAGGCAGTGGGTGGTTTGTTTCAGCAGTGGCAGCAGCTGTTTGTAGCTGTTGTAGTTTCTGTGGAAATAAATAGGAGGAATTACTTTCAGAGGGAATTACATTGTTGAGATGAGTTAATGGATCAAAGGAACTTAGGAAAGTTTTTACTGTTTAGAATTAACTGTTTGGAACTAGTGTAATCCCCACCACTACAAATCATCAGAGACAGATATGTCACACATCATTTAGAAATGACATAATTTGACTTCTTGTTGCTTTACTTGAATTGCGAGCAATGTTCTAGCTGAGTTCTTGAGTTACTTACTGTACAGATTCTGGTTTGAATTTCTGTACATCCTGTTATACCAGGGGGACAACCAGGTGTCCAGTTTGGTTATGTGGTGGGAGCCAGCTCTGTCACATTCTTCAGTCCTATAGTGGAAGATGTCTTCGTTATTCTCTCATAACAAATTGTGATAGCAAATATGTGTGTAAGAGGGGCAGAATATGGAAGTTTGTCAGATTTTCTTTTTTTCTTTTTTTTCAACAAAAATTTCCATGTTCAAAGTGACAGCGTATTCAGTAACTCAGCAGGAGCCATTGCCTTATGTGAAACTGAAATATAGGTAATTACCTTCTCCTTGGAAGATAGCAACTTCCATGAGCTCTGACAGGGGTTTGGAGTTGAGGATGTCACGGATGAGATACTTACTGAAAATTTACAAGTGAAGATGTGCTCAGAGCAAGTTTTTTTCATTGTGCTTGTGGGCACAGCAGAAGGAACATATTTTCTGTATCTTGTCATAATGAAAGACAGCAGTCAGAGGAAACAGCTGATTTTGGATCTGTACTCGCACTTCTTTGTCCTTTATAAACTGCACTGTCACTAATTGTGTTTAGGGATTTGTAGGAGGTATGTGATTGCAGCAAATATAATACTAAGATTTACTTCAGTCTACTGTATGACCTGATGTCTAGGTTGTTGCCTGTTGCAAATAGGCAATCAGAGTTCAAATCCTTCCTGACAAGTAGCTGACCTCTGATTCCTACATGATGGATGAAAGCAAGCAGGAGTCCCTATTGATTACTTTAATGCTATCATTATTTTGTACATTACTACAAAAGTGATCAGACAGTGGAAGTACCACTAGAAGTACCATGCTGCTAGTGTCGAAGAAGCAGTTGAACAGTCTGAAATATAGATTTTGAATTTGGAATAGTACTGTGTGGAGCCAGGAGTTGGACTTTGTGGATTCCTTCCAACTCAGATTATTCTGTTCAGTTTTACTATTGAAAGCTATTATTTTTTTAGTTTCTATTTTTAACAGAAATACAGTCTTGTTACAGTCCTAAAATAGGATGTGTGAGTTTAAAACAAGTAGCGACTATGAAAATATCATTAAACTATGGAAAGTGTGTATCTTGATAATGTTGAGAGTTTCCATGACATAAGAAATAATTCAAGAAATACAGATATGAAGCTTGAATATGTTAGACATTTGTAAATTAAGTAAAATTTCAATTGTTTGTAGCAATCTTTGCTTTGTCTAGTTTGCTTGTAAAGATTTTTGGTACTTTCTGCAATGGATTTAATGATCCTAAACAGAGATGATTGCAGTGATGATGATATAAATATGTTGTTTACATTTTAGAGCTTCTTAAGATGAAAACATTTTAACCAATGTGATAAGTTGATATAAAGTGTCTTTTAGCTGTATTGAAAGTTTTAAAATTTACCAAAACAGAAATGTTTCACTCTGTAATATTACTAATTTTCTGCAAGAATAGCTGCTAGTATCATTGGACCTCATAATTATTTTTTTTTAAATTCTGTCTGAAACCAAGACAGCTACAATAAAGAGTTTCATACTGTTTCTCACATCACAAATTACAGAAACAATCAGAACAAAAGACCTGTATGGATATCTGGTGGTCTCATAGTACTTAAGAAACACAAACATGTTCCTAAGGTTAGATTATTTTTTTAAATTTTCATTGTTCCATTTTCTACCTTAGAAATCTTATTTGAATTTGAACACTTTTACTCCGTCTAAAAAAGACAGAATGGACTCATAGAATAATTCAGGTTGATAGGAACCTCTAGAGGTCATCTGATCCAATGATCTGCTCAAAACGGAAATAACTTAGAAGGTAAATCAAGTTGTTCTGACCTATATATAAAGACCTTTAACAGATGCTGTTACTGTTTCCAGAATTTGTACTTTACGAAGACCAAGCTGCTGAGGCCATCTAACAGTGCAATGCACTTTAGGATTTCCAGAAGGCATGGTGATATTTCCTGACAGTCAAAGATAGTTCTGCCATTACTATGAAGAACATATAATCCTTGTTGTCATTTGCAGATGTGCCTCTAGGAAGCCAGTGAAAGAAAACGTTTTTTTTCAATATCTCTCTGAATAGAATTAATCTGACTGTACAAGAAATGAAGCAGAGGTGATGTTGCAAACTATTAGTAAGCTGGCTTTATTTTATGCATTAAAAAAGCAACTGCTTATAAGTTGAACTGAATAATGTGCTGAACTCAAGATGGAAGATCCTATTTCCATATTTATGTATCATAATGTACCACAATTTGGTACCTTGGAAGGACTTATATAGGCCAGTTCCTCAAGTGTCATTTCCTCAGTCCTATTAGCTTCAGTAAGCATGAGGCATGAATGGAATGTAGGATCTGAACTTTACATTAAAAGAAATACCTTTATGAAATAGTCTTTCAGTCTGAATGCATTGGTATGATGGCAATAATAACTTTATTTCAGGAGGTATCCCAGCAAGAATAACAGCACACTTCAGGCGGTACAAGGTGCTTAGCAAATGCACATAATTTTACTAGTCAGTCATCACAAAAGTGTATTGTAATTATAGGATACAATGATTTCTTTCTGAAAGAAGAAAATGTCTTTCACTTGCTGCCTCTGACTTAGGCCTGGGATTAGAGAAACAGTACATTCCTTAAACAGCATGAATTCTGCTTTTATAAATGAAAAGGGGAACTTTCTTGTGGCCAGATTTTTTGGCTATCTTGACTATGTGAAATTAAAAATGATGTGCTATTTGTGTCAAGTAGTGGAACCAATTTAAAAAGCTCACTTTTAACTTCTTGGTGCTGGAGTCACAGAGTACCACCCATTATGAAGTACTGGTGCAC